TTCTCGCTTTCCCTTTTTCTTTCTCCCTGGTCAAATTTAAAAATATTAATAACAAATGGATTTAAATAAATAAATAATTCTTTAAAAAAAAAACACACACAATGAGACACCACTTCGCATCTATGAGAAGGGCTATCATTTTACTTTTTTTTAATTTTTGTTAAGACTTTTGCCATAGGGTGCATGTGCTCACTGATGAAAGACAGAGAGATAGAGACAGTGAGAGGGAAAGTGAGAAATCACTCCCTAGAGGATATGTTCATGCTGCAATCCTTTCTCTTTTATTCTCCTCCTGGGATTTTGGGCATGCATGCACATGCACTCAGTGCGACTTTCAAGCCATCAGATCCAAGACTCAAACCACAGTCAGCATGTGGGAACCCAGTGCCTTAACTACCATACCATCTGCTGGCCCTCTTTTTTTTTCTTTTTTAATTTTTAATCTGGTATAGGGCAAGTGTGCTAGCCACAGAGAGATGGAGATGTAAAGTGAGTAAGCACCCCTGAAGAGATGGCCACATCACAATCCTTTGTCCTCCATTCTCCTCTTGAGATTTGGGCACACACACACACACACACACACACACACGCCTGGCATGTTTCTCAAGCTGCCAGGTCTGGGACTCACACCACACAGTCAACCATGTGGGATCCAGTAGTCTTAACTACCATGTCACCAGCTAACCTACAATCATTTCTTTTTTTATGTGTTTGTTTCTTTTTCTGTTTTGCTATGTTTTTAAGAATTGTTTTATTTAACTTTATTTATTTATTTATTATTTTTAATTTGACCAGAGAGGGACAGAGTGAGAAAGAGAGAGAGGGAAATAGAGAGAGGGGAAAGTGAGAAAGCAAGCCACCAATGTAGGACTCAAACTCTAGTCGGCCATGTGGGAGTTCAGCATCCTTAACCACCACGCCACGTGTTGGCCCCAGCTTTGCTATCATTTTTTTAAGAAAGAAAATAACAATCATTAGCAAGAATGTGGAAAACTGAAACTCTCACACACCATTGGTAGGAGTGCAAAATGGTACAGCCACTGTGGACGACAATTTGGCAATGCCTCAAAAAGTTAGACATAGAATAGTTTCATCATCCAGCCATTCCACTTCTAGGTACATACTCAAATGGATTGAAATCAGGAACTCAGCAGGTATTTCTACATGGATATTTGTAGCAGCACTATTGACAATAGCCAAAAGGTGGAAACTACCCAAGAACCTATCAACAGATACATGGATAAACAAATGTGGTGCAGATGCACATCTGCCTAGGTTTATAGTTGCTTTCCACTGAGGAGAAGAGAAAGTAGAAACAGAAACACGTGTATAACTCTCGAGAAAACAGAATGAAAGAGAGAGAGAGAGAGAAGGTGAAAAAGCAAGCCACCAAGTCCAAGATTTGAATAACAGTCAGCCATGTGGGAGTCCAGTGCCCTTAACTACCATGCCACCTGCTTGCTCCTACCTACCAAGGTTTTGTTTTACTGGAGTTTTTTTTCTTTTGTCTCATGTTGTTTTATTCTTAATATCTTGGACTAAGGTGAATGAAAAGGTGATATATCCATAAAAGGAATATTAGTCAGTCATAAAAAAGGAAGAAATTGGCCCAATCAGTGGCATGGTGGTGAAGACAGCTGGATCTCACATGGCCAACTGTACAATTCAAGTACTGGACCTTTGAAAAACACACCAGGTAGGGACCAGCAGTTGGCATAATGGCTATGTCGCTGGATTCCCATGTAGTCGACCGTAGTTGAAGTCCCAGACCCAGTGGCTAAAACTCACACTGGGCGCGTGTGCGTACGTACCCAAGATCCCAAGAGGAGAATGCAGGAGAAGGGACTGCGGCGTGACCATCCCTCCTGGGGGGGTGATTTCTCACTTTCTGTCTCTCTATCTCTCTCTGTCATTGTAGTGAGTGCACATGCCCTATAGCAAAACCCTCTCAAAAAAAAAAAAAAAGCGCTAAGTAGGTGTACATGCATGGCTAAAATCCCCAGAGAAGAATGGAGGAAGGGATTGTGGTATGGCCATCCCCTCATGGGGGTAGGAGAGTTGCTTTCTCACTTTCTCTCTCTCTCTCTCTTTTTTAAGAATTATGTATTTAATTTTATGTGTTATTAATGTTTTTTAATTTGTTACAGGGCATGTGTGCCCACCAGAGAGAGACAGAGAGAGAGAGAGAAAGTGAGAAAGCAAGCTGCGGGACCAGGAGATGGTGGTTAAGGCACTGGACATGCCCACATGGCCGACCACCTGGTTCAATTCCCAGATCTGGCAGCTTTCTTTCTTTTTAAAATATGTCATTGTAGAGACCAGCAGATAGAGTAATGGCTATGTGGCTGGACTCCCACGTAGTCGACCGCAGTTTGAGTCCCGGACCCAGTGGCTTAAAACTCACGCCGGGCGCGCGTGCGTGTGTGCCCAAGATCCCGAGAAGAGAATGGAGGAGAAGGGATTGCAGCGTGGCCATCCTCCCTGGGAGGGATGTCTCACTTTCTGTCTCTCTCTCTCTCTCTGTCTGGAGAGCACACGCACCCTATAGCAAAAACCTCTCCAAAATAAATAAATAAATAAAATATTTCATCGTTTTTAATTATTTTATTTATTCATCATTCATTTCAACTTGACCAGAGAGAGACAGAGAGAGAGAGAGAGAAAGTGAGAAAGCAAGTCACCAGGTCTGGGACTTGAACCTCAGTTGGCCACTTGGGAGTCCAGTGTCCTTAACCACCATGCCGCCTGCCAGCCTCAAATGTGTGATTTTTTTTAGAGTATATTTATTTCATTTTTCTATGAGAGAGAAAGATAAGTATCCTCCGCAGAGTCTCAAATCTCCTTCCTCTCCCCAGCCTTCCCAGCCAGCCAATATCACGGTACTTAAGTCCTCCCGCCTGTGTAAGAGGAACTGGAAACCCAGTCCCCTCGTTCATTGGATTCCACATCACTGAGCTGCATACTTCCATGGCTCCATCATGGCTGGCCCTACATATAATAGTCTAAGAGCGATGGGGTCAGCAGGTGGTGTGGTGGTTAAAACGCTGGAATTCCCACATGATTGACCATGGTTTGAGTCCCAGATCTGGTGGCTCTCTCTCTCTCTCTCTCTCTCGTTCTCTGACAAAACTCATGTTAAAAAAAATAATAAAATTATAATAATAGTAGTAAATAAACAAATAAATCATTCTTTTTTTTTTTTTTTTTTGGAGAGGTTTTTGCTATAGGGCACGTGTGCTCGCCAGACAGACAGAGAGACAGAAAGCGAGAAATCAGCCCCCAGGGAGGATGGCCACGCCACAATCCCTTCTCCTCCATTCTCCTCTCGGGATCTTGGGCACGCACGCACACACGCCCGGCGTGAGTTTTAAGCTACCGGGTCAGGGACTCAAACCGCGGTTGACTACGTGGGAGTGCAGCAACATAGCCATTACACTAACTGCTGGTCCCTAAATAATTCTTTTAAAAAAAGAGTCTGAGAGTGAGAATGAACAAAACAGCCTTGGGTTAGATATGAAGTTTTTTTTTTTTCTTTTGGAGAGGTTTTTGCTATAGGGTGCATGCGCTCGCCAGAAAGACAGAGAGAGACAGAGAGACGGAAAGTGAGAAATCACCCCCCAGGAGGATGGCCATGCCACAATCCCTTCTCCATTCTCCTCTCGGGATCTTGGACACGCACACACACATGCCCGGCCTGAGTTTAAGCCACCAGGTCCAGGATTCGAACCGCGGTCGACTACGTAGGAGCCCAGTGACCTAGCCATTACGCCAACTGCTGGTCCCAGACATGAAGTTTCTAAAGTGAATCACTTCCCAGTGAGACAAGAGGAAGGGATACGGGACTCAGCGCCAGCCCCTGCTCACTGCTGGCTAAACCCTGCACTCTGCTGCCAGCCGCTGCTGGGTGTGTCAGCAGCAACCTGCACAGCTGCCTACCAACCACAGCAGAACTCTGCACCTGGGCAAGTCAAGGATATAAAGACAAAGGAAGGGGCCAGTCGGTGGCATGGTGGTTAAGGTGCTGGACTCCCACATGGCCAACAGCAGTTTGAGTCCTGGACCTGGCAACTTGATTTTTCTCTCTCACTCTACTCAAATTTAAAAATAACAATAATGACGATGAATAAAATTAAATAAAATAATTCTTAAAATCAAACAAGAAAGACAAAGGGAGGGCCCACCGATGGCATAGTTGTTAAGACAGCTGATTTTCACATGACTTGACCAACCTGTTCAAGTCTTGGAAAGTTTGGGAAGTCTTCAAAGCTTGGAACCAGCAGCTAGCGTAATGGCTATGTCGCTGGACTCCCACGTAGTCGACCGCGGTTTGTGTCCTGGACCCGGTGGCTTAAACTCACACTGGGCGCGTGTGCGTGCGTGCCCAAGATCCCGAGAGGAGAATGGAGGAGAAGGGATTGCGGCGTGACCATCCCCCCTGAGGGGTGATTTCTCGCTTTCTGTCTCTCTGTCTCTCTCTGACTGGCGAGCGCACGTGCCCTATAGCAAATTTTTTAAAAGGGGGGACCAATAGGTGACATGGTGGTTAAAGGCACTGGATTCCCACAGTGCTGACCACAGTTCTAGTCCTGGACCTGGCAGCTTTCTTTCTCTCTCTCTCTCGTCAAATTAAAATAATAATAAATTAAATTAAATAATTCTTAATTTTTTTTTTAAAGAAGAAGAGACATTTTGTATTTAGTTTAAGCTAGGTCTTAATTAATATGGCTATTTCTTTTATTTTTAAGAATTATTTATTCATTTTATTTTATGTGTTAATTTGACCAGAGAGAAAGGGAAAATGAGAAAGCAAGCCACCAGGTCCAGGACTCGAACTGTAGTCGGCCATGTGGGAGCTCAGCACCTTAACCACCATGCCACCTGCTGGCCCCAATAGGGCCATTTCATTTCAGTGACCCCTGTGTTCCAGGTGGGGGATAACTCTCAGCAAGTGCACACGTCAATGAAAAAGCTAGTGAGCGTGAAAGACAGAGAGCAGGTCTTTATTGTAAAACTCTACGGCTAAGAGCGAGGGTCCTCCTGAGAGCCACCCTCACCTCCTTATTCCGCAGCGTGTACACCACAGGGTTCAGGAGTGGTGTTGCCACCGTGTAGAACACAGCCACCAGGCGGTCCTGGTCAGGGTTGACCCCAGACTCGGGCCGCAGGTAGATGATGGAGGCACAGCCAAAATGCACCACGACCACGGTGAGGTGGGCCGCGCAGGTGGAGAAGGCCTTGCGCCGGCCAGCCGCTGAGGGGATCCTCACGATGGCAGCCGCAATGAAGACGTAGGGCAGGGCACAATGAAGACGTAAGACAGGAGGATGAGGAGGAAGGAGACCAGCACCACCAAGATGCTTAAGAAGAAGATGACCAGCGCTTTGCCAGCACTGTCACCACAGCTGAGCCTCAGCACGGGGGCGATGTCACAGAAGAAATGCTCCACGCGATCTCCACGGCAAAAGGGCGAGGAGAAGATCATGCTGGTCTCGATCAGGGACACCAAGAAACCGGAACAGAAAACCAGGGCTCCCAGGCAGACGCACATGCTGGGTCTCATGATCACCGAGTAGCGCAGGGGGTGGCAGATGGCTACGTACCTGTCATAGCCCATCAAGGTGAGGAGGAAACAGTGACTGCACCCCAGGCCCAGGAAGAAGAACATCTGAGCGTGACAGCCAGCGATGGAGATGGCCTGGCTCTCCATCATCATGTGCACCAGCATATTGGGGACAGTGACCAGCGTGTAGCAGGTCTCTGAGAGGGACAGCACCGCCAAGAAGCGGTACATGGGCGTGTGCAATGTCCGGTCCACATGGATGATGGTGACAATGGTGACGTTGCCACTAAGGGTGATCGTGTACATGAGGAAGAACAACGCAAAGAGTGTGGTCCTCAGGTGTGGGAGGTTGGAGAAGCCCACCAGCACAAACTCCGTCACCAACCAGGTCCCATTGTCCTGTTGCTTCTCAGGAGCCTGAGAGGAGGTGACACTCTGAATGCAATAGAGCCCGTTAGTAAGGACCTGCTGCGCATCAGAGAACAGCAGGGTCAGACAATCCTCTCTCTGTTCCACAAAACAGGTGTGGGAGGGGATAGACAGGGGTGGAGCAGTAACACAATACTCTGCAAGAGTGACCCACAGAGGAGGATTCTGGGCTGGTGTCTCTTTTTCTTTTTCTTCTAATCAGGAAGCACCCCAAAAGAGGAGACCGTTCCTTGCTCCCGTTGAACCCTCATTATAAGTGATCCTATAGGAGTGCATTGTGCCCCGATCATTTCCAAAGCACATGTGCCTTCACCCCTCCTATAGGAAGACCACATGTGAGCTCCACACATCCCACCACTGGCAACTTGCACACCTGAGCACCTCAGATTCTAAATCTAAGTGAGAGTAACCTTGGAGGGGTCTCCTTGGGGGCGTTCCCAGAAGCTCCACCTTTCCTTCCTAGCCCATAGCATCTCATCTACAAGAAGCAGGATTGAACGCCTTGCCAGCACACTCCACTCTACGCTGTTAATCTCAGCTTAACACTCAGCCCCTCTACCATTTCTCTGCCCTACACTCATGTTCACATTTCACCCACTGCCTCCGGCAGGTTGCAGTGGCTTTACCAGCCTCATAAAGGACCTAAAGTTACACTTACCATGGCCTAGAGGAGGTGGCCCACAGTGTCTGCCAGTACTACTCTCCCCCTAAGAAGGGGAAAGCTGAGGACTTGGGCTCTCTTATACATGGATCCCTGGAGCTGCCCTCCCAGGGGCTCCTCAGCCACTAACAAGACCCCCAGGGCTCAGACTGGTGGTGCTTGTGGGATTTCTTCGTCCTGGAAACTCTAGACTCTGGAGGGCTGCTTCCCCAGTCACCCATAAAGCCCTGGAGGAGAGGAGTGAGAGAGGAGCCAATTAGGACTTCTCTCTGTGGATGGTAGTCACAAATGCATCCTCACTCCACCCACACGACCAGTGTCCACTGAGCTCCACCCAGTCCTGGGCAAAGCTGGTGCCCCATGGAAACAAAGCCCAGGCTCTGATCAAAGGTACAAAGAAACGGGTCCAGCAGTTAGTGTAATGGCTATGTCGCTGGACTCCCACATAGTCGACGGCAGTTCGCGTCCCGGACCCGGTGGCTTAAAACTCACGCCGGGCGCATGTGCATGCATGCCCAAGATCCCAAGACAAGAATGGAGGAGAAGGGATTGCGGCGTGGCCATCCCCCCCCGGGGGG